CAAGTACTGAAAAACTGAGGGATTTTTTTGTATGCCTTTACTCTAACATGGTAAAGTCCAAGAATATAATTTTAGTATACTTTAATGTTCTGATGTCACACTTGGAAAAATTGTTTCTGCATTGGAAATATTGTTCAGAAACAGATTATTTTGTGTTTTGGATAGAAATTCTTCTAGCATTAATCCAGTTGAGGAATGAAAAACAAATGCTCAAAAAACATCAAAAAATGAATTAAGCCAAAGTCAATACTGACAATTTGTTGATTTAAAAATTAAATTCCAGCTGGAGATAATGCCCCAAATATGATTTTGAAGACTACTTAACTAAACGTAGAATATTGCTACAACAAGACAGCCAAATATATAATGAAACAAAAGCTTCTCAATGAAGAAGAAATTAATAGCACAGTTTCCACAGTTTGACTTCTGAAAGTGCATTAACTTCTGCATTCAGTCACTTCTGTAATTGGTTCTGTCCCCTGCATGTTAACAATGCATACAGTCTGTAAGTGATCTCAAACGTGGTGTGTTTTAATGGTTAGTGTAATAAAATGAACACAAGTACTACTCTTTCTTGTTTTGCTTTGAATTACAGAGCATTTGCTATGTTTCCTCCAAGTTCTGAAGTCCACCTTCCTTTAATTTTGAAGAATAATGGTATGTTTTGATATCTGTCATCTATTGATACTCTTTCTTATCTGTGTGCTTGTGACAGATTCCTGACTATGAAGTTTGATCAAAAGCCAGTGTTAAAGGGAGCAAAATCATGGTCCAGGTAGCAGTTTTAGGGGATAATAGGGTAGGTATATATTAATCCATACAAACTAAATTTGATTTTTTTTCTCCCAAAGTTTGAACTTGGATTAATAATGTTAGTCTATTGCAAGACTCCACACAAAAGTGTGACAGAAATGGGGTAAGTTTCATCCAGTATTACACAGTATCAGTGACATTTACAAAATTTATTAAGGAAAAGGCTCTAAGCAAAATGTATAACCCAGAAACAGATTTCGATGGGCTACATAGAATGTGCCAAAAATCATCAAGGAGTTAAGGGTTATTCACCTTTATTGTCCTTATTTTTTACTGTTTGCTTTGCCTTTTTTTTTTTTTTTTTTTGAAAAATGCATGGTTTTGTTTTGAAGATGCTTGTTCTTTGTTGCAGAGTTAGTTATTCTACTGCCAGTGTACTAATCAAAATGCTTGCATGTGCTGTGCGCAGTCATATCTGTGACATAGTGACAGATACAGAATAATGGAATGGTATAACTTCCTTCAGAGGACAGTGAAAGAAAACAGGGGCTTAGTAGTGACAAGGTTTACTTTGGGGAAATACATGTTTACAGCACAAGTTGCCCATATTCATCATATTTGTTATAGAAATAAATAAAGTGCCTAAAACATCCTGCTCCTTTCTGTCATTTGTGCTCAACTGGCCTCAGCTGTTAGACTCACTTTAATATATCACAACTGTCTTTGTTTCCATGAATCACTGGGGAAAAAAAGGAGAGCAATTCCAGGGGGAGCCTGTTCTGGCCTGAAGGCACTACTCTTACCACCTTAATTCTGTTGTTTTTTTTCTGGTTATTATGTCTGATAGCCATATATCCTGAATCAGTATCATTTGGAGCAGGATTGTTCTGGAAAAGGGAGAAGTCAGTCATGATTAGGATGCCAAAATTAAGCTGTTTGTGTTCTAATTATAGGTATGGACCCAAGGAAGTGCATGCCACCTGCAAGCCACAAGTGCCTCCACTCTTGTTTATCTGCTTGTGATAATACATATGAGCATTGAGGAGAAACACGCAAAGTTGCTTTGGAGAGTCCAGTTTGGGCCCCTTCCTTACAATAAGGAAAGTCGAAAATCGTGGCCCCTTCCTACAAGCTTTGGAGTTATTTTATTGCTGACTGCATGTCACTGCTTTTAAAAGAAGGGGAAAGCACTTATGTGGATGTATAATCAAACAAGATTGTTTCTGCATTATTTATTTTCTTAATCAGCCTTGGACTTCATTATGCAAAAATGCATGGATTTCTTAACTTTTTCAATTATGAGCTTTCCTAAGATTGAACTGTTTTCTAAACTGCACAATCCTCTAATGAAGGCAACTGGATAATGCTCATGCTGGTCATCAATTGATGCAGTGATATTTCCCATTTGTTGCAGAATCCTGTATGGTACTAAGCAAACTTTAGAAATGCTGTAAATTCATGTTTGGACAGCTTTCAAAAACTAAGTTGTCTTTGCAGAAGTTAATTGCATGAATTTGAAAGTAAGTCTCCGGAAAATGTCTAATGAAATCAGTAAGTTTTTGTCTTACTGCTGATTTTCTTTGTCTGACATTTGTGAGTGATGGGAATAAGAGTTTAATTTAAGGTATTCAAGGCTACTGAGATATTGTTAAAGAATATCTTTTTATTTAGCCCCCAGTTTTCATGAAATCTCCTTCACTTTCTATAAACTTTGCTATTGCTCAACAGATTAATAATTTAGTGCAAGGAGAGAAGTAGTACAATTAGCTTTACCTTTTATTAAGAAACTAAAAGATAAAAAATACTTGCATTGAGCCAGTACACTGGATGTACTTGCCTTGAAACATCCTATAGATCATTAATGGAAATTAGTTTCTTTGCTCTGCTATTGTTTTTTCTTCTTTATAAAACAAACAGTAGGAAGTTATATAGTTACTTCAGATTTGTTAAATTTATATTATTAATCTTCTTCTGCATGTTTTGTTTTGAATAATAGCTTTTCTAGTCACTCAGGAGGTACTATCCTTTCTGCCTTGTCCTGGCAGTGCTTTTTCACATTACTACAGCTTTTCAGACACTGAAAACAAATCCGTTGTCTGGAAGACTACTTAAAGTCCATGCAGAAGTCCACCTGATGTGAGAATTTTCAGAAAAAGTCCATGAGACCAACAAAACCAAGGTACTGCTCTCAAAATTCAAGTTGTAATCACCCCTGCACAACTTCTGATTGTAACAGCATAGTAGGTAAGACTTCAGCCCAGGGAGGAACAGATCAAGGTTTTGCTCTTCAGGAATTTCAGATTAGCAGACTCCACTTCTGCAGATTGCATCCTAGCAACATTCTGGATGATGGTGCCTACTGCTGTAGAGGTACCACTGTTTAAACACTTAAGACTGGACCAAAAAGAAAACTGTCTGGGTTTTGGCTGGGGAAGATTTTAATTTTTAATTTTGCTGGGTAGATTTAAATTTTTTTCGTATTGGTCTGTGGTTTGGATTTGTGCTGAACACATGGTTAATAACAGAGAGATGTTTTTGTTATTGCTGAACAGATAAGAGCCAAGGCCCTTTCTGCTTTTGGTACTACCACACCAGAGAGGGAACTGTGGGTGCTTGTGAGGAGATACAGCCAGAACAGATGACTCAAAATGACTAAAGGGATATCATGCTGGTATATGAAGTGGGGGGAAGTGGAAGAAGGAAAAAGGAGGGTACCTTTGGAGCCATGGCATTTGTCTTCCCAAGATGGCTGAGTACCTGTCTGCCCACAGGAAGCACTGAATCAATTCCTATTTTTCTTTGGGTTTTTTGTTTTGTTGTTGTTTGTTTGTTTGTTTGTTGTTTGTTTTTTGGTATTTGGTTTTTTGGTGTTTTTTTTTTTGTTTTTGTTTTTTTTTTTTTATTGGTTGGTTGGTTTTTGTTTGTTTGGTTTGGTTTTTGGGTTTTTTTGCTTTTGCTTTCCCTGTTAAACTGCCATGACTTTTCTCACTTTTCTAAATCTTTCCCCAGTGCAGGAATGAGCAAGTGGCTGTGTGGAGCTTGGTGGCTGGCTAGGGTTAAACACAACAACTTTGCTCACTATTTTAGCCTTCCACAGCCTTGTTCTAGATCCAGCTCAGTGTAAAACATCCAAGTCCTCCTTGAAGAAGAGACTGGAGTCTGTAACTTCTCTGCCAGCACAAGTGAACCAGACACCTTTGTAGATGTATGTCTTCTCTGTGCTCTCCTTCTAGATTGAGTTTTGAGGGGTTTTTTTATATGCCAACAATACTCAAGGGATTGAAAGGACAGCCTTCATGTGAAAGGATCTACAGACAACAGCTTCAAAGTATTTTAAGAGAGATGAACTTTTCTGGTTCTTCACAGTATGACTTCTTACAAAAGGTGACAGCAACCACTTCTTGTCCTATTCTACTAGGGGAAAAAAACCCAAAAAACAAGGAAGCCAACAAACAAATCCAGAATTTAACTTCACAGAGTGCATAGTTCTGCAAGGAGTCCAAAGACCACCACCCTTGTCAGCAAGAGCCTGCTGGGCCCTATTTGGGAGACACACAGATGCGGAGCTCCAAATCTTTAGGATGCCCACACTGGAGCCAAGGTATCTCTGACACTTGGATGTCTATAGCTGCCACTGAACTCAGGCCTCCAATACAACAAACCTGAGAGGAATCCAGGCTTTGAAATCCCCCTTCAAGTATCCACAGCTGAAGTACTTCCTTGGAAGTGCATTTCTTTTACTTCACTTGTTTCTGTCTTTTTATGTCAGACAACAGTTTTAGGACACAGAGGTAGTTATGGAGATTCTAGACCTACAATGGAAAAACAGTCGAAATTAAGTTTTTCACGTTTTCAAAGCAATACGAAAGGCCATCGGCACGGCTATCTGGCCACAAACAGGAACAGCTGAGGCCCAGACCCGGCGTGTCCCGGGTAGGTGTGGGCCGGGAGCCCGAAGGTGAGGCACGGCGGCGTGAAGAGCCGCGACAGCTAGCAAGGGCAGAACGAGGGGATGGCGCTGCCCGAGGGCTCCTCGACGGCTGTTCCAGGCACAGGGACCGCCCGGCGAGAGACGACAGTCGCGGCACCGGGGAAGGGGAGGGGGCTCGGGGCCAGGGCCGGGGCGGTGACTCAGCGCCTACCGCAGCGCATAAAAGGCGAGCGGCGGCGCTGGGCTGGACGCCGCGGTCGGGGGCGTTGTGGCGGCCGTCGGGTCTGCTGGGAAGGCAGGGCACGGGGACGGCGCGATGGGGATGGCCAAGCTGCGACTGCTATGCGCCGCCGTGGCACTGCTGTGTGCGGCACCGCCGGGGCAGCCCGGCGCCGTGCTGCCCGCGGGCGAGGGGGACGGGTACGGGGTGAAGCTGTGCGGCCGCGAGTTCATCCGCGCCGTCATCTTCACCTGCGGCGGGTCCCGCTGGAAGCGGCTCTCCCTGCTGGCGGCGGAGCCGGCGCCCGCGGCCGGTGAGTGTCCCAGGAGCGAGCCCGAGGGGCAGGCGGCTGTCGGGGCGCTTCGCTCGCTGCCGAGCGACGGCCTGCGAGGAGGGATGGAGAGAACGGGAAAGGAAGGGGAAGGGCGGGCATCCCGCGGCGCCTCTCGCTCCTCCCGCCCTGAGCCGCTGAGGGAAGGTCCCCGTCCCTCTCTGGCTTTCCTTCTAGATCCTAATTGGCATTTCCGAGACTTTTGGAAGGACGCCCTGAGTTTCAGAGGGAAAGGGACGGTAGGCGCTGGGGCATTATTTGCCGGCATAATCCGCAAAGTTTTTGATCAGTTCGGAGATACCGCGCGGCTGCGCAGGGCTGCCGGCTGCAGGGGAGCTTCTACTATAAAATCCCACAAAACCACGCTTCTCCCCTCCCTTGGCCATGTGGGGACGTCTGATGCGCCCTGGGGAGCGGTGGGGAATGCCTGTCGCTATGGCTTCTCTCCCTTCCCAAGGCTCCGTAATTCCTCGGGCGGCGGAACGAAGTGGGGTTCCTGCCGGGGTTTCCCTCCCGGACGGGAGCCCTGACGCCGCGCTGCCCGTCGGAGCTCCCGGGATGTGCGGGAGCGCGGCGGACGTGGGATCGCGCGCGGTGTTATCCCTGGTGCTTCTCTGCATCAAAGAGTTGGCACGCTGGGGAGCACGGGCTCTGGTGCTCCGGGTTACGGTATCCGGGCTGTGCTCTCAAACTGCGGTAAATGTAACAGTAATTTTGAGTGATTAATTTATGTTGTTATTTTGAATACTGAAAAATAACGTTTTTTAAAAGGACAAAAGTTGTAATTATGGGTAAAACGTGCAATGGAGGAGATTTTTTTTTTTTCTAATTAAACACACTTTAGTGAAATAACCTAAGAATTCAGGCAGCTAATGAAGCCAGTTTTCTGGGAATTTTTGTATGTTTTTTTCCCCCCAACAGGTTGAGTAAAAGATAAAAGTAACCTTTGTAATTATAACAAATTACTTACACACAGCCTCTGTGGGGATTACGTCCTTTCCCAGCAAATTTTGCCTTCCTTTTTGGTAACAGCAGCTTCTGAGAACAACAGTCACTAAAGAGCCTCCACTATGCTGCATGATATCTAACTAGAAGACTTCTCCACCCCAAAAGGTTCTTAAATGGCAATCACTGTCTAATTACTAAAGTAGCTACAGCTACTTTTATTTTTGCACATACTCAGCTGTTCTATCTGAAAATTAGATTCTGTATACTAATTTGCCATATTTAAGTAAATACAAAAGTGGCTGGATATTCTCAATGTTCTTTCAGCTTTCTGAAACAAAAATTTAACTGTATTAACAGCATTAAGATCACAAGACAAAGACTTGGTATGGATTATTTTAAAATTAAGACTTGAAGAGGCTGTTTTTCTTCACATTAGTTGAAATAAGCCATTCCACTTGCCTTGCAGAAGTAAAATCAAGAGAAACCATGTAAGGTGAAAGGAAATAGGGCTGTATTTTTGAGAACACTAGTCAGTGAGATGAAGCATGTCATAAGTAAATTCTGCAAGCCCCTGATATGCCTTGAGAAATGAAAGAAATGAGAGGAAAGCATCAGTTAAAAATAGCTATAGAAGAATGCAAGCTAGGAATCAGTTTGCATACAATCTTTGCTTATTTAATCTTTCCTACATTTGTTCTTCACATGATGCTACTGTGTGTGATTGTGCCCAGGAGCGGCGGGGTCTGATCTAATTCATCCAACACAAGACACAGCTCTGTGGTGTTTTTGAGTACATGCCTTTACAACAAAATTCTGATTCTGTGGAAAAATTACGACTTCTCCATCAAAAACACTGCAGTTGTGACAGGATACCTTTACTTCAGTTGTAGTTGTTTCTGTGTACTCTGCATATCTAACAGGAGGTATAGACTTTAAAACACAGATTCTGCTAAAAGTAAGCTACAAGTAAGTCATGGTGTGGAGACTCTCAAGTACTGACAGTTCTCCTGCATAATAGTGTTTCACTTATTACTAACTGAATGGGTTTTGTTGCTGTTTCTTAGAGCTGTGTAATGCTTTTGATGCTCCTACAGTCTGAATTTAAGATAAGTCTTCTCTTTAAAACAGATTCTGCACAAACAGCAAGTAACAAACTACTGGGAAGCTTCAACCTGCAATCAGTTTTGGATCCTGAAGTGGAGCAGCTGCAGAGAAGCAGCCCATTTCTTGGATGGGAGACGTTTAAGGACTTGTACAGTTTAAATTACTATAATGAATATGTACCTGTGGCAGGTGACTTAAAAAAGCTTGTTCACCAGGTAGAGGAAGCTGTTCAGAAGGACAGGGGGGGAACAGGAAATGCAAATCCTGTGGAATCAAGCAGCTACCTTTGGGCCAGGTATCCCAGAAGAAAACGGGAGTCTCTGGGTTTGGCAGGAATGTGTTGCAAATGGGGCTGTACAAAAGCTGAAATTAGCACTATATGCAGAGTTTAAAATCCTCTCTACACTTATGCATGAAATCAGTGTTTGTTGCAGTACTACTTGATTGATTACTTCATGGAGGAAGAAAACTTTTGCTGTATTTTATCTTGTCTATATGTGCCAGTCAATATAGCTGGTTTTCTTTAAAAAAAAACCCAAAACCAACAAAATAAACAAAACATAAATGTAATTGCAATGAGTATGTTTTGCTGCAGTTACTTCTAATCTATATTTTTTACTAAGTCTTTTCATTTTAATGTTGAGCCTTTACACTTATATTACGAATGTATTATATCTTTGTAACACTTTAAGAATAACCTCAATATTTCAATAAAATGTAATTGTACTAAGTGTTGCCAAATTATTGTTCCTCTGTCAAAATAATTAATACAGAATCATAGAATGCCTTTTGTTGAAAGGGACCTTAAAGATCACCTAGTTCCATCCCCCCTGACATAGGCAGAGATACCTTCTTCTGGATGAAGTTGTTCAGAGCCCCATTCAGCCTTGGCCTTTAATACTGCCAGGGATGGGGCATCCACAGTTTCTCTGGGCAATCTGTTCCAGTCTCACCTCACAGGGAACAATTTCTTCCTCAATATCTAACCTAAATTCTCCCTCTTTTAGTTTGAACCCCTTATTTCTAGTGCTACTAAATTTCTAATGAAGAGTCCCACCAGCTTCCTTGTAACATTCAACAATATTAAAATGGGATTCATGGTACAAAGCTGTAGAGAAAGAATATTTTGCCAATTGAAATCTCACTTGACACTGACTCAGCTTGCTGATTATTTTGACCCCATGTTTTCCATTTTCTTGTAATTGCAGAATTGTTTTTATGCAGCATTATCTTTATAGAAACTTAACACAACACTTGCAGCCTGCATTTTTTTATATTTATGTCTAGGCTTAAATAGTTAGAGTATTAACACTTCAGTCATTCCTTGTTTACTTTACTTCCCCATTTTTTCACTACTGCTGCTGAGTGAGAGTGCTGGATGTGCATCAAGTAACTTGCTGTACAGACACTCAGAAGTACATCTGAATTAGTGTACACCAGCATACTTTAAGAACACACAGAAAGATGTCTAAGTTGCTAATTGCTAGTGTATTTCTGAATAGCTGATTTATTCCTTGTAGTTTCTAATCCTTTTGCCTTCCTCCATGTTTTTCTCAGCTGTAACAGAGTTGTGTTTCTAGCAATATGGTTCATGAGGTGAGAGTTTTGGTTTTCCTGACCTCTGTGATCCTCAAGGCAACTTAACTTTGTAGCAGTAGTTGACTCAGAGCATGCTTCAGGGCTTATTAGGCTGTGCGGTTGAAGCCTTTTGCTTTGTTCTTCAAATTATCTTTTGACAAGTATTCCTTAATTAGAAGACTACTTTCTGCAATTATTGCATATTTTTTTTTTATTCCTTAAGATATTACTGTTATTGCAGCAATTAGGCGTCTATCAATTCTTTTTTTTTTTTTTAAGACATGAGTTTAATTCAGTAAAAATTGGGCAGAATGGACATTCACTATGAATATTGTTATCTTCCACATGAAAAGAACCATCTCTTCTGTCCTTGTAATAATATTTATGAAGAAATTAGTTGTCTTCTTAAACATCTTAGTTGTAGTGACTCTAAGATGCTTTTTGCCACTCTGAGTGGAAACAGCAACTGTGCGACATTCTGCTATAGTTTTGGGTGTGTTTGTTTTTGCAACATATTAGCTAAATGTCTATAGTTGGCTTCCAGCAACTTCTCTGCACAGATAGTTTTGGGTTTGGGTTTTGATTAGGATTTCCTAGAAGATTACAGGAGGAGTTTGAGGGGAAGTATTCCTTATTTTTGAGCAGTTTCAAGAATTTTTGGAGTTAAGATTACTTAGCAGTAAGGTAAGGAATAAGAGGTATATATGAAAAGCCTATGAAAAGCCAAATGAAAATTCAATGCGAGAAGAAAGTGAAAATTATCCTGTATGCATTTGTCTTGCTAGCAAAATGTCTCTCAATCTTTAAAAAGGAATATTGGAGAAGGTGAATGGTTATAGCCAGTAAATGGTTATAGCAGACTTGAGTGAAACAAAAATGTAGTTAAAACCTTAAATGTGTGAGTTTAAGCCTTGAATGGAACAATCTGGAGTTTAACTTGCTGTTAGATGTAAACCATTGGTAAAACTATAAATAGTGTAAGTGGAAATAGTGTTTGAGTGGAAGTGTTTCAGGCTGAGATGGGATTATAAATAGAAAAATCAGACTTTATCTGATATAAACAGGCTTTTCTCAGAGGTATGAGTCAACCCAGAAAAAAAGTGAAATTTGTGTTTTCATTTGGTTTCTCTAATAGGCCTTGTCATAGTCTGTAACAACCTTAGCAGGCAGGCCATGAGAAAGGCAGATGGCACAGACAAAAATTAAGTCTGTGAAAAAAAAAATTAGAGTTAAAAAGTATTAGAATAAAATTAGTGTAAAAAAATTAGAGTAAGAATTTGTGTACATACTACAGTGTGCAAAGGGCCCTTCCCTTCCCTTCCCTTCCCTTCCCTTCCCTTCCCTTCCCTTCCCTTCCCTTCCCTTCCCTTCCCTTCAACTCCCCTTCCCTCCCCCATGACACTAAGCTGTATTTTCTAATGGTTTCTTTGCAATGTAGCCAAAGGTGACAATTTTGTGTCGCTCAGTTGGAACAGGTCTTGAGGATGCCATCTGCCTACTGCTCACATCACTTGGTGTGCAGAGGTACTTTTTTTAAGACGAGAAGCAAGCCTTTTATGTAAAATGAGGTGTCTGACTATTTGGGTAGGGAAAGCAAACACACTTTGAAGCAAGCATACTTTGGAGCAGACAGCTCAAAATGTAAAATAATGATTGAGTTGGGTATGGATCCAGATAGCAGAGCACAAGGACACTGTCTCTGCTGAAAGTGCCTTTGGGAGTGCTGCCATATGTATCCAGCAGTATAAACATGAGGACAGCAGTTTAAGGGATCACATTCTGCTTACCATCACAACTGTTCAGAAATATACACTTTCTAATGAGGAAAAATTTGAGTTTTTTTCCCAACATTTCTTTCACGGACAAATTAGGTATTGAGGAAAACATTGTTTTAGCAACTAGCTGCTTACAGAAATTCCTTACAATCCTGTTGATTAAGTCTTAGTGTACAGGAAGTATCCAATTTCTGGATAATCTATTAAGATGTGTGAGCCTACTTCTGAACAGCTATTTTTAGTTCATGAGTAGAAAGAGGTATACCAGCACATTCCCATATTAGTGCTGCCATTTGTGTCTGCACGAGTGTATTCTGAATGTTTTGGGGAATTTTTTTCACTACAGGTGTAGTCTGATTCAGGTCTGACTATGACCTCCTAGAACAGTGTCCAAAGACATGGGAATAATTCAGGGCAGTACGTAATAACAGACTTCCCAGCTCTGTTCCATGCTATTTCCTTGTTTTAAATCCGATGGAAAACTCTTAATGCAATTATGCAATGTGTTGATTGGCACATAGCTAGAGCCCAGTACCTCAAGTAGTGATGATATGTAAGAACATAGACAGAATGCTAAATGTGCTACAGAAAACTGTGTAACAAGTCCCAGAGACTTGACAGACACATCTCCCTCCTAACTCTAGTCCTGTTTGGCCAGTTCTTTATTTTGCCAGTTGTTTAAACCATAGAGGAAAACATCCAGATTCATGAGTTACTGAAGATATGCTGTCCATTTTTTTCTTTTTTAGCCTCCACTTACAGGCAGCAAAAAGACTGACATTTATTTTTGCCTTCTGGCAGAGCTGGAGACAGACCTGGAGTTAGCACTCTGAGTTTTAGGGAGAATTCCTGAGACTACTGTGTTTCCTACTCAGCTGGCAGTAGAGAAATGACTGTAGAAAATGACAACTCCTTTCCTTCTAGCAAACGGAACTTGGATAGATTTGTATCCCACCTCCTGCTCTGCAGTCACTCACCTGTATAAGCAATTAGCTCAAAGGGGGTCCTTTCCTAATTTATGCCACAATGCCACCACACATTGAATGGATTCTATTCATCACACAGCTTTCATGTATCTTGGGAACAAACACCTGGGAAACCTGGGGTCAAACCAATGAGGAAACTTACTCTGACTGGGTGTGAGTGCAGAGAGTCAAACGGGGCACCCATCGGCTCTCTGGAGATGCCCACTAAGGAGGGGCTTTCATCCCAGTTGTGGAAGTGTCTGCCCACACCTGAATGGTCAGTCTGGGAAGATCCTTAACACAATAATCTCTTAAATTTTATCTTTGAGTCTAAATTTAACTATAATCTTAGATTACAGCTAAACTAAATTGGTTGACTTGAATATGTAGTTGGAGATCCAAATGATCCCCAAGACACAGACCACTGCTATCAATGAAGAGGTCATCAGGAAGCAAGGCTCTTACAGCAGTATATGGGGAGAGGATGAGAGAAAATACTGATAAAGTGAAACACGAAAGCACAGGCTGGAGATAAAAAGAAGCCTTTAGCCCACAAGGGTAATTTTGGCAGCAGGGCCATGACCCAGAGAAGTTGTCCCCAGTCTGAGGAATTTTCAGGCCTGTCAGGGTAATGCCTCAAGGAGCCTGGTCTGACCCTGCAGCTGAGCATTCTGTGGGCAGAGTGTGGGAGAGGAGCCTTACCCAGCGTGCATTCCTCTGAGATTTCTCCTTCAGGAATGCTGAACAGATAAAAACCAGTAATTGATGTAAAGGCTTAGATGTGGAAGGAAGTATTTTCCTGGTGTGGTCATGAGGGAGCTAAACAGACACATCTTAGTTAATTACATACAAATATTTAGTTATTGTATGACATTGTTCATTACATACTAGCAGATAACTAGCATTTATATATCTATATATACACTATAATTAGTTTATTACATAGGAATATGGACAAGGACAAGAAAGAAGACAGGAAAAAAAATGGTTTGATGTCTTAAATTGTATTCAAAATCATGTCTTAATTGTCATGATAGAGACTTGGTTGGATAGTAGACACAGGCACGTATGACC